TGTGTGTGTGTGTGTGTGTGTGTGCGCCATTGTAATTACACTACCCAAAACTTCTGCAAAACTGTTGCTTTCTTGGCTCTTGAACTAAAGTATTTCTTCTTCTGATGTGACACACAGTGAACCATCACATAGACTCTGATCTAAACAGTCTGATGAGACTTTCAGGACTGTAAGCCGTGTCTTTGGTCAGATCTGATCGTGTGTGTGTGTGTGTGTGTGTGTGTTCAGGGGATCGGGGGGCCGGAGGCCTACATCGCCACTCAGGGGCCACTGCCCAACACCGTGCTGGACTTCTGGAGGATGATCTGGGAGTACAAGGTCGCGGTGAGTGAATCTGCTGCCACAGAGAGACTCTGTGTGTGTGTGTGTGTGTGTGTGTGTGTGTGTGAGTGAGTGAGTCTGTGTGTGTGTGAGTCTGTGAGTGTGTGAGTGTTCTCTTAAGTGACACATGACTTCTGTTGCGCAGGTCATCGTGATGGCGTGTCGAGAGTTTGAGATGGGGCGGGTAAGAATGATTTCAATGTGGATTCTCTGCTTTAGCCATAAAAGCTTCGACACACAGACTCAAACAATTTCTTCACTCGCTTTCCTGTGCAGAAAAAGTGCGAGCGTTACTTCCCGCAGTTTGGAGATGAGCCTGTGACGTTTGGTCCCTTCAGGATCTCCTGTGTGAGTCCACATTACACTTCCCAGCAAGAAACGCATTGAGCCTGCAGCCGTAGCGACAGATGTTGTTATTCACATGAATGCGTCCACACTGGAACTCGATGTGGCTTAAATCTGATTGTTCTCAGTCAGTCGATGACGGTGTAAACAGCTGAAGCGCATTAAATTTGACATCTTCAAATGGGATCTGAACTTCATATGCAGGAATAAGACGTATCTGTTTTCCCCCCAGTGTGCCTTCAGCTTGGCCAGCAGTCAGCTTTACTGTAATTTTACATCAGTACAGATATTAGGCATGCTATGTTTGCAGATTTTTAAATATGAATCTTTTTTGTTTGTTACCAGCTTAAGTCCCAGTTATGTGCTTTCAGGATTCATGTTTGAGATTTACCCACATCACAGAAAACACAAACTGTATCAAATGCATCAAGCTGGTCCATGCAGATCTGAATAAGTTAATAACAACTGTTCTTAACTAACCTAAGAACTGTTCATCCGTATTCAGGAGTCTGAGCAGCCAAGGACAGATTATTTTATCCGCACACTCGCAGTGGAGTTTGATCACGTGAGTCTGTCTGTCTGTCTGTCTGTCTGTCTGTCTGTCTGTCTGTCTGTCTGTCTCTGTCTGTCTGTCTGTCTCTGTCTGTCTGTCTGTCTGTCTGTCTGTCTCTGTCTGTCTGTCTGTCTCTGTCTGTCTGTCTGTCTGTCTGTCTGTCTCTGTCTGTCTGTCTGTCTCTGTCTGTCTGTCTGTCTGTCTGTCTGTCTCTGTCTGTCTGTCTGTCTCTGTCTGTCTGTCTGTCTGTCTGTCTGTCTCTCTGTCTCTCTGTCTGTCTGTCTGTCTGTCTGTCTGTCGCAGCAGGACAGTTTTTTTAACCATCAGTCTGTTTCTCTCTGGTCTGTCAGGAAACCCGGCGAGTGACGCAGTTTCATTACGTGAACTGGCCCGATCACGACGTCCCGTCATCGTTCGATTCAATATTGGACATGATCGCTCTGATGAGGGAATATCAGGAGCATGACGACGTTCCCATCTGTGTCCACTGCAGGTATGAGATCTGCTCATCCTGACCTCACGTCTGTTCTTCAGTCCCATGAGCTTCGAGCAGCAGCTCAAACTGACGCCTCGATCTTCTCCTGTCTCTGGCTTCATCTTGATGGCTAATCATCACGATGAATGAGAGGCTGAGGTTCAGGTTTAGTCTGGGGTTTATGGGTTAGAAGTCTTTTATTTGGCATGAGCCTCTGAGTTTGTGCCATGTTTGTTTTGCTGTGCTCAGTGAATGGATGACCGAGGGCTTGTGCTGATGGTGTGTGATGGAGGATAGCGGGGCACCAGTGATGCTGCAGGGCCTTCTGATCGTTTAACATGTTTACTAGTTCATATGAAACGACTGGTTAGTGTGTAATATCAGCGTGTGTTCTGACTGCATATATGTGCTGTTGTACATGTGTTGACAGTGCCGGCTGTGGACGCACAGGAGCCATCTGTGCAATCGACTACACATGGAACCTCCTGAAAGCTGGGGTAACACACACACACACACACACACAGACACAAACACAAACACACACACAAACATGGCACAGACATGCTCACACACTCACGCACACAGACACGCACGCACGCACGCACACACTCACTCACTCACACACACGCACACACAAACACAGGCATGCACTCACACACACACACACACACACACAAACACAGGCACGCACGCACACACACACACACAGACACGCACGCACGCGCGCACTCACACACACACACACACACACACACACACACACACACAAACACATGCACACACACAAACACAAAGGTTTGTTTTTGTGAAAGTGGGGACTCTCCATAGGCGTAATGATTTTTATACTGTACAGACCGTATATTCTATTGCCCTACACCAACCCTACCCCTAAACCTACCCCTCACAGGAGACTTTCTGCATTTTTAGATTTTCAAAAAAACTCAGCCTTTTGAATTACGGGGACACTGAAAATGTCCTCATAAATCACCTTCTCGTTGTAATACCTATGTCATACCCATGTTATTATACAAATTTGTGTCCTCATAAACCACATAAACATGCACACTCATACACGCGCGCGCACACACACACACACACACACATAGTCTAATACCTGAAGGACTGGCATCATTGTGTGTTATTTTGCAGAGAATTCCTGAAGATTTTAACGTTTTCCAGCTGATTCAGGAGATGAGGACACACCGGCATTCAGCAGTTCAGACCAAAGTAAACTACACAAAACACGCTATACACACTGAAGCTGAATAACTTTGATCACAGGCTTCATGAGTTCATGACACGTTACAAACCGCCATAGGGTTGATCCTCCAACCTCCTGTTTCTCTCTGTACGTTAGGAGCAGTACGAGTTGGTTCATCGAGCGATTGCTCAGCTCTTTGAGAAACAGCTGATGCTTTTGGAGAGTCCGACTAACTCTGAGCTCACAGACGGGATGGTAAGATCACAAACACACACAATGAGCTGCTGGAATTAGATCTCCTCTAGAAACACAGGAATGTCAGTTGAGAGAAATTAAACAATGAATAGAAACTGATGCTTTACTTCCTGTTTGAAAAGCCTGATATACAGACACAATGCAGTCTGACCGCACACACACACACAGAGACACACACACACTCACGCACGCGCACACACACACAGGACTGTAAGTGTCAGTTTGAGGCTATAATATCTTCATTCTGTCCTTTCCTGCTCTATTTTCATTTCTCTGTTTGTGATGTAGAGGTTCTAGTGATTTACATTCCCGTGTTTGCTTTGTCTTTGTTCTGACACACACACACACACACTGCAGGAAGAGGGCAGCCCGGAAAAATCCGCTCAGAATTCAGATGAGGAGAGATGGGACACGCCCCCTCCCAAACCGCCCCGCATCCGCAGGTGAGACTCCGCCCCTCGGTACACGCCTCCAGAGTCTCATCAACCTCAAACCTCCAACCGCACCGAATGAAGAAACTTAGAAACATACTCGTTTCACAGAGTGTGTCAATGCAAATTTTATAATTTTTTTGTATTTATATATATATAGTATTAGAGTATTAGTATTTAGAGAATTATGCATGTCATGCCATCTGCTGTGTTTCCATACGAACTCATGTCTTGTGTGAATGTTTGTCTCCCTCTGGAGGTGAAGCTCATGTTTTCTCTCTTCTCTCTCAGTAATCAGGTTGAAGGAGACGTGAAAGAGGAGATTCTGCAGCCTCCAGAGCCGCGGCCCGTTCCGCCAATCCTCACGCCGTCTCCGCCTTCAGCCTTCCCTACGGTCACAAACGTGCGGCAGGACAATGACCGCTACCATCCCAAACCCATCCTGCACGTGCTGGCGTCAGATCAAAACCCCGACCTCAACGAGAACTACAGTAATCCAGGACAGAACGTCCCAGCGCCGCCCCCCGCCGACGGGCCGGACCGACGCCTGGAGCGAAAGCTGAGCATCGAGATCAAGAAGGTGCCGCTGACGGAGGGCCCTCGCAGCTTCGAGGGGAACAGCGTGTTGCAGCGGTCGCATGCGTTCAAGCGCTCCAACACCAGCAGCAGCTCCATGTCCGAGGAGTCCGACGAGCCTCCGCGACCCAACCACCTGCCGCTGAAGGGGGAGAAGGGTCACGCCGCCTGGTCCAGTCCTGAGAGAGCGGCCTCGCCCGCGGATCGATCGCCCAGTCCTGCGACACCAGCCGCACCCGTGAGGACGGCGCTGAGCTTCACCAACCCGCTGCATTCGGGCTTCACTGATGCCGATGCTCACTCCACGGCAGCCAGCACTGTATCAGCGGCGCAGCAGAGCGAACATATGCCCCGCAGGGTCACACCGATGTCCATCGCCAGCCAGAGCCTCCTCACACACACCTCATCAGGTATATGCTCAAACACGCGCCGCTCCTCCGTCTGCTTCCTTTCCTAGCTCTCATTTCCTTCGAGTCGTTTGACTCTCATTTGATCAGGTTGGTGGTCAGAAATGATTCACACAGGTGAACAGGTGAACCGATGGAAGCATCGCTGTGACTGGAGTCTGTGTCGCTTTGAGTCCAATCATTCAGACAGAATGAGAGTCTGATGAGTATGTTGATCTTTAGGAAGTGGATGTGTGTGTAATCTCGGAACAGAAGAACCTTTTTCCCTATTTTTCCTTCAATGCCTTTAAGTTCTGTCAGTTGATGTGGCTGTATATTCACACGTGTGTGTGTGTGTGTGTGTGTGTGTGTGAGTGCAGAGATGCTCCTGGGATCTTTAGGTCACCTGATCAAATGCAGCTTGTTTTCTGCCTCTGAGCTGTGCTAATGCTGCCTGTCTAGGGCACTCAGTAGGGTTGTGGGGCTGAAGGCATGATGGTAGCTTGTTCTGAGCTCATGATCGGGGCTCTGGGCTTGTGTCAGGTGCTGATGCTGTGTTCAGCTGGGTAAACGCTCTGGATGGTGTGTGTGTGTGTGTGTGTGTGAGCGCTGGTCTGTAACTGCTTTCTTTGCCCCAGACTGTGACGACAGTGAAGATTTGCCCCCGCCTGTTCCTGAGCGAACCGCTGAGTCCTTCCTAATGGCCACAGGTGCGTCTTTACTGTGTCCAGCCACACGAGGGCAGCAGAGGCTCTGAGACAGAAGCACATCGCGTCACTTCCTGCTTCTGTAAAGAAGTCTGATCTGAAGAATTCTGAAATGAAGATTTACTTTTATCTGGTTGCTCTTGGTGAAAATCAGTTTAATTACACACACACACACACACACCGTGAATCTCAGCCCTCTGTTACGTCTCGCAGCGACTGACATGGTCGTTATGAAATATAAATTACAAAAAGTGGTTTAGACGGAATGCTTTTCAATAATTATGCAGATAAATGCTTGTTGGTAGCTGGTGTGTGTGTGTGTGTGTGTGTTGATTTTGTGAGTTTGAAGTGAGTTGATCACTGATGGTTTATTAAGGGTTCAGTCATTAAACTCTGTTTTATTAGTGAGGTAATAGCGTCTAAGCTTCTCGTTCTCATGTCATGTCTTCCTGTAACGTGTCCCTTGTGTTCATTCAGAGGCCGCAGATGTGAAGCCGCCGCCGGCCGAAGCGTCGTCACAGGTGAGACGAGTCTGTTTCTGCTGTAACTGACCGAGAACGAGTGATTTCACATGTCTCTTCTCTTCACAGGCGTCTGCAGACACACAAGCTCCTGCTAGTCCTCCAAAGACCGGTACGTCACACTTAAACCAGATTAAACCACACCACATTATCAGGGTTTATTAATGTTTTCTCATTTTTGGCCAATGAATCTCACTCAGAATATGAGTGTACGGAGGCGAGAGAGACACTTCCTGTTGATCAGCACTTCCTGCAGACTTTTATTTTCACTGAATCTATAAAACTTTCTCTCGGTGTCTCTCGCTTTCCCCCGTCATTTCATCTGACATGAGTTTGTGCAGCTCTAGAAACCCGCGTTAGGTGCGTTATTTACAATATTATCATGTGTGTGTAGCATTAACTTAACAGCATAACTTTTTTATATCACAGTTAATGTCAGTTCGGCTTTATTGTGACTCATTTAAGTCTCACGTTCACAGACGGCGCCGGCTGTTCAGTTAATTCTTTACTGTTTACACAAAGATATGATTTTTATCATTAGAATGAATATATTATTATTACACAAAAATAATATCTTAATTCACTTGCAGCATTGCAATGCATTGTGGTTAAACCCTCAGCTTTATTTGAATGTTAATGTGCTTTTGTTTCTGGTAAAAATCTCCAGCTGTATCTCGACTCGAAGATCAGCCGGCTGACGCTGATGTGATTTCTGCCATAAAGTGATGAAATAAAAGCCTGATGACAAAGGTGTGCATTTGTTTAACTGTGTTGGCGGTTTTGTTTTGCTTTCTAGATGCTGAGCAGAAGAACGGAAAGGGTCTGGATTCGCCTCTGAGCGTCCCGAAGGACAGGAGAGCCGAGACGGAGATCGGTGAGTGACGAGAGCAGAGGAACAGATGAAAGCTTTTCCTTTATGATCTGCGAGTTTATCTCTGTGTCTCTGTGCCGCAGGATTCAGCAGCCGCTGCTCGCATCCCAAAGGCCCCCGGGAGCCTCCGTCGGAGTGGACGTGACCGCGGCACCCATCCGCTGCACACGCCACGCTCCTCTCTCTTCTCTGTAGACGGACGGTCCAAGACTCTGCGCCCTCTTCTCTGACTAACACAATCAGTAAAGCTACAAAGATAATCTCCCATGATGCACCTGTGCAGCCGCTGCTGTAGTGCTGCTCGCTGTGCTGGTGCTAAACGTCTCGCCGGGACCAGGACCTGCCTTACTCCTCCTGGACCTGTTTGTTACTCACGCATCTTCTGCAGTAGTTTATCCTCGGATCAGACGGATGAGGGCCGAGGAGCTGCTGCCTCATTAACGGTGTCTCATGCGTGTTCAGGGCGAGCCGTGAATAATGATGCAAACGTACTATCACTGAATATATTAATGCGATGTAAGACGTCTGTGCATGAAAACGTCACGTGTACCTCAAACTGTAAGTTATTTGCCCTCCTGTTAGAACAAACCTTTTCAGTGTTGTGTTTTCTTTTCTCGCCGTTTCTTTGCGTTGGTCAGGCCGGCGCGTACCGGCCGCTTCACAAGACGCTGGAGATTGTGATGATGCTTTTTGTAAATTGTATTCTAGAGGTTATTTTTGTATGTCATTTTCTCACCTCACGAACAACACCGACAGCTCGCCCGTACCTTTTTTTGTTTTTCATTTTACTGTGTGTTTGAGACGCAGAGAGAGAACGTGTGCGAGCTGCACAAAGTCACATTTAAACCTCATGTTTACTCGACCTTCCAACACAGACCTGTCAATCAATCAATCAATCAACATGTCAGTAAAACATTAGGAGGAAGATGTCTCCTGCTGCTTTATTCTCAGTACATGCTGTGTGTGTGTGTGTGTGTGTGTGAGTGAGAGAGAGAGCGAGCGAGAGAGAGAAAGTGATTGTGTGTGTGTGTGAGTGATTGTGAGTGTGTGTGAGAGTGTTTGTGTGTGTGTGTCATGTTGAAGTTTCTACAGCTGATATTGTTCATATTGGTTCAGACAGGCGCTCGCTCTCGCCATCTGCTGCTGAACATCTGCATTCACACAGCTGTAACACGTGTTTGTGAACAGCAGCGTTTGAGTTTGTGTCTGTTGCATTTGCGTCAGCAGTTTGTCATTTGCCACTATTGTTTGATCTGCTAATCATTCAGATGCTAGAATATGGCAGTCCTGTGATAATAGACGGCAGAACGGGCTCAGCGTGACACACGAGTGCTAGGGTTAGGTTAGCGTTAACACTCAGCTCTGTTCACATGTGTTCATACTCATTGATCCATTCATCAATAATTTCATCTGCTGGTAAAGCTGTTGTGTTCCTGTGATCACGTCTTACTCTGATTTATTCAGTCCTGTTTCTCACTGAATGGATGTTATCTGAGAAGTTCTGACAGAGAGCTGATGAAGCATGAGTGTGTGGTCTCTCTGTCGCAGTGCACGAATGAACGGGTCACATGACCTCTCTGGATGCCTGTCAGACGTCTGGAGAAGAGGCTGGTTTGAGACGCCTGGATGGGAGTGAAGAAATCTCTCGTAAGCACAAGCCAACAGCTCCATCATGTGCTCTGTTCCTGATACAGTGGATGCAGAATAACTGCTGATTCACATTAACTAAATTAACAATCAATTCAATATATCTAGAATTTCACATTTTACACTAGAACAAAATGTGATAGTTTTGAGCCAATGAGCTTTAAGCTCTGTCGTCAGCCAGTCGTTTCCCATCATGCTCTAGTGTTTCCCATCATGCTTCTAGTGTTTCCCATCATACTTCTAGTGCTTCCCATCATGCTTCTAGTGCTTCCCAGCATGCCTCTAGTGTATCCCATCATGCTTCTAGTGCTTCCCAGCATGCCTCTAGTGTATCCCATCATGCTTCTAGTGCTTCCCAGCATGCCTCTAGTGTATCCCATCATGCTTCTAGTGCTTCCCAGCATGCCTCTAGTGTATCCCATCATGCTTCTAGTGCTTCCCAGCATGCCTCTAGTGTATCCCATCATGCTTCTAGTGCTTCCCAGCATGCCTCTAGTGTATCCCATCATGCTTCTAGTGCTTCCCAGCATGCCTCTAGTGTATCCCATCATGCTTCTAGTGCTTCCCAGCATGCCTCTAGTGTATCCCATCATGCTTCTAGTGCTTCCCAGCATGCCTCTAGTGTATCCCATCATGCTTCTAGTGCTTCCCAGCATGCCTCTAGTGTATCCCATCATGCTTCTAGTGCTTCCCAGCATGCCTCTAGTGTATCCCATCATGCTTCTAGTGCTTCCCAGCATGCCTCTAGTGTATCCCATCATGCTTCTAGTGCTTCCCAGCATGCCTCTAGTGTATCCCATCATGCTTCTAGTGCTTCCCAGCATGCCTCTAGTGTATCCCATCATGCTTCTAGTGCTTCCCAGCATGCCTCTAGTGTATCCCATCATGCTTCTAGTGCTTCCCAGCATGCCTCTAGTGTATCCCATCATGCTTCTAGTGCTTCCCAGCATGCCTCTAGTGTATCCCATCATGCTTCTAGTGCTTCCCAGCATGCCTCTAGTGTATCCCATCATGCTTCTAGTGCTTCCCAGCATGCCTCTAGTGTATCCCATCATGCTTCTAGTGCTTCCCAGCATGCCTCTAGTGTATCCCATCATGCTTCTAGTGCTTCCCAGCATGCCTCTAGTGTATCCCATCATGCTTCTAGTGCTTCCCAGCATGCCTCTAGTGTATCCCATCATGCTTCTAGTGCTTCCCAGCATGCCTCTAGTGTATCCCATCATGCTTCTAGTGCTTCCCAGCATGCCTCTAGTGTATCCCATCATGCTTCTAGTGCTTCCCAGCATGCCTCTAGTGTATCCCATCATGCTTCTAGTGCTTCCCAGCATGCCTCTAGTGTATCCCATCATGCTTCTAGTGCTTCCCAGCATGCCTCTAGTGTATCCCATCATGCTTCTAGTGCTTCCCAGCATGCCTCTAGTGTATCCCATCATGCTTCTAGTGCTTCCCAGCATGCCTCTAGTGTATCCCATCATGCTTCTAGTGCTTCCCAGCATGCCTCTAGTGTATCCCATCATGCTTCTAGTGCTTCCCAGCATGCCTCTAGTGTATCCCATCATGCTTCTAGTGCTTCCCAGCATGCCTCTAGTGTATCCCATCATGCTTCTAGTGCTTCCCAGCATGCCTCTAGTGTATCCCATCATGCTTCTAGTGCTTCCCAGCATGCCTCTAGTGTATCCCATCATGCTTCTAGTGCTTCCCAGCATGCCTCTAGTGTATCCCATCATGCTTCTAGTGCTTCCCAGCATGCCTCTAGTGTATCCCATCATGCTTCTAGTGCTTCCCAGCATGCCTCTAGTGTATCCCATCATGCTTCTAGTGCTTCCCAGCATGCCTCTAGTGTATCCCATCATGCTTCTAGTGCTTCCCAGCATGCCTCTAGTGTATCCCATCATGCTTCTAGTGCTTCCCAGCATGCCTCTAGTGTATCCCATCATGCTTCTAGTGCTTCCCAGCATGCCTCTAGTGTATCCCATCATGCTTCTAGTGCTTCCCAGCATGCCTCTAGTGTATCCCATCATGCTTCTAGTGCTTCCCAGCATGCCTCTAGTGTATCCCATCATGCTTCTAGTGCTTCCCAGCATGCCTCTAGTGTATCCCATCATGCTTCTAGTGCTTCCCAGCATGCCTCTAGTGTATCCCATCATGCTTCTAGTGCTTCCCAGCATGCCTCTAGTGTATCCCATCATGCTTCTAGTGCTTCCCAGCATGCCTCTAGTGTATCCCATCATGCTTCTAGTGCTTCCCAGCATGCCTCTAGTGTATCCCATCATGCTTCTAGTGCTTCCCAGCATGCCTCTAGTGTATCCCATCATGCTTCTAGTGCTTCCCAGCATGCCTCTAGTGTATCCCATCATGCTTCTAGTGCTTCCCAGCATGCCTCTAGTGTATCCCATCATGCTTCTAGTGCTTCCCAGCATGCCTCTAGTGTATCCCATCATGCTTCTAGTGCTTCCCAGCATGCCTCTAGTGTATCCCATCATGCTTCTAGTGCTTCCCAGCATGCCTCTAGTGTATCCCATCATGCTTCTAGTGCTTCCCAGCATGCCTCTAGTGTATCCCATCATGCTTCTAGTGCTTCCCAGCATGCCTCTAGTGTATCCCATCATGCTTCTAGTGCTTCCCAGCATGCCTCTAGTGTATCCCATCATGCTTCTAGTGCTTCCCAGCATGCCTCTAGTGTATCCCATCATGCTTCTAGTGCTTCCCAGCATGCCTCTAGTGTATCCCATCATGCTTCTAGTGCTTCCCAGCATGCCTCTAGTGTATCCCATCATGCTTCTAGTGCTTCCCAGCATGCCTCTAGTGTATCCCATCATGCTTCTAGTGCTTCCCAGCATGCCTCTAGTGTATCCCATCATGCTTCTAGTGCTTCCCAGCATGCCTCTAGTGTATCCCATCATGCTTCTAGTGCTTCCCAGCATGCCTCTAGTGTATCCCATCATGCTTCTAGTGCTTCCCAGCATGCCTCTAGTGTATCCCATCATGCTTCTAGTGCTTCCCAGCATGCCTCTAGTGTATCCCATCATGCTTCTAGTGCTTCCCAGCATGCCTCTAGTGTATCCCATCATGCTTCTAGTGCTTCCCAGCATGCCTCTAGTGTATCCCATCATGCTTCTAGTGCTTCCCATCATGCTTCTAGTGCTTCCCATCATGCCTCTAGTGTTTCCCATCATGCTTCTAGTTTGTGCAGCTGTTGAACAGCGATGGGAACTGAGCATCGTCCACTGATTTAGTCATTTATAACAAACTGAAGTCTTCATTAAGAGGAATATGGACATTGTATTCAAAGATAATTTATTTTCCTGCGATAGAGGTTAGGTTTAAAATATTCCACTTAAAATACAGGATATTATAAATGTATTAATCATGCAAATTTCTTTATCCATAAATTTGAATGGGCATAAAAAATACTTTTAAAATAGTAACCGGTCACTAATTTAATGTGTGAACGGGAAAATTACTGCAAATCTATTCTCGGATTTATTTTGCATAATTTGTATAGTGTTATATTCATAAAGCTGTTGATATGCTGTTTATCATTTGTAAGCGCTGAGTAAGAGAATACAAACATACACAGATTTATACAGTATTGACCGTGTTCTCCAAACAGACGCTGTTGTATTTGTTTCTTGGACAAAATGAATTAAATTAGGCTTAGACCCACACCATTTCTTGTTGTGAAATTTTCCTAAATTAATAAAATGTCATAATTTAATTACATTTATTATGTTCATTGGAATAGTACATCGATACCAAACGATGAACAATAATGGATTCTTTATTTGTTTTGTTGAAGAAAAATCACAGGAATATCTAATCAATATCTAAATGAAATCTCTCTAATGCACCTTTTGCTGGATATATATCATCTAAGATCTTAAATGTAAGCTGTTTTATATAATACTTTATTTAAATAGTATTTACTCCAAGCTTTAGTCCAGTTATTTAGTCCATATTCAGAAATACAGATTTCCACGACCAGCTTTTATGCGCATCTGTTTCGCCTGACAATATTAAGATTATTAGCACAACGGTGTTCAAGAAAGCAAACATTGATATCCTCTATAAACATGTAGTCGCGTTCTCTTTGTAACCCATTCACTATCTGAATTAATTATTAATTTTTATTGCTACTAGATGCTGCAGAGTTTCTAGATTGACAACCGCCAGATTTAAATGCAAGATTGAATCTGAAAAAGTGATGATTAAAACATCTGATACTGTATCTGAGAACAAATATTGGCACTTATTCTGTAAAAGTGTTTCTTTGTTCAT